GGAGGTGGGAGCAGTCTTGATGCTGCCCAAGCAAAGGCTCGAGTCACCTGCTGACAAAGGCAAACACAGCTCTGGTGAGCCAGGTGTCATCATATAGGTTAAGGCAAAGACTAGCCAAGGGGATAATGAGCTATGGAAACTCCTGCTCTTTAGTGATGCAGGCTGTGGTTTCAGCGTGGATTAAAGCAGAGGCAGTGCAATCCCATTTCCCTCTTCCCTCTCTCACACCTGCACTGCAGCCAATTTGGACTCACAGTAAGACGGGGTCAGGTCACTCAGGTTATGCAACAGAGAGCTGAACCAGAAAAACCCAATGTTTTCCATCAATTAAGTAAAGAGCTCTTTACAAATACAAATGAGCACCACTGCTTGTTGAAGAAAGAGCCAGGAAAAAACCCAGGGAGACATAGCACACCTGCAAACATCATAGCACCATCAGATGGCAATGAGTGGCATCCCTATTCCTGCTCATGCAATCCTGGTCCATGCATATTCATGTATTAACTCCATCAACTAGTAAATTTGACTCTCTAATTTAAGAGAGGGTTGATTTCTAGTCTAAGGAATCTCATAAAGGATTAAATACCTTATGTTCATAACTCTTCATGCCACTGGGTCTCACAAGAGTCAGTTTTCCAGAAGAGGAAACAAACACAATTTGCTGGCAAAAAATGGAAGTCTTGGCTTGTGTATGCTAATCTGCACTGCATGCTATGCTGCTAGAGGCTCAGAGAGAAAACTTCATTCCAGAGGCTTGTGGTTCAATTAATGTATCAGCTAAGCCACAATGACAGGTAGGAGACAGCCATGAAGTGCAACTGCAGTGCCAGGAAGCTCAGCCTCGGCTGGCAGGTTCTAAAAGGAACCAGGAGAAAAACACTATCCCCAAAGAGTGGAAGCACACACTGCTTGGCAGATGACTCAGGTCTGCCAAGCAGTTAGCTGGATTTTGACTTAGTGATACACTGGCTCTATTTATTCATCAGGTTTATAGTGAAGTACCTAAGAGTTACCATATTTAACATTGCAGCACACAATTTTCACAGAAGATGGTGACATGGGTAAGACCATTACTACCAAAAAGATGAGTATGCTAAGAAAATCTTAATGAAGAGCAGCAAATACTGCAAATAACTGAGGGGTTTGTCAGTCAATTAAAAATGCAAGTTCTTCTATATAGATATACTACAAAGGACTGGTTAAAATGTTTCATGGGGTTTTATATGAGAAAATATGAGAACCACAATAAACAAAAAAAGTCCAGACTATTTTAAACAGCTTTGCATAAGCATGTGACGATCCTTGTTTTAGTTTGGGCATGAGAGCTTTACTGTTCCAACAGATCCTGAACTACAGGATGTCTTGCATTGTTTCCAAGTAGGCTGGGTTACAACAAAACAACAGAACAAATTGTTACTAGCAAGAACTGGCTGGAACAAGCTGTGACAATTTAAAAATTTCCCATCTGAAAAAGCAAAAATTCACTGATTATAAAATGAAAAGCAATGTCCCTACCATTACTACTCTGGTAGATTTTTTTCCTAGAAGAAAACATGAATATTGCTATGGATATGCTTCACAAAACTTGATCTCATGACCCAGTAAAGCTACTGTTTTACAGAACTCAAAATAGCAGGCTTTGCTTCTGTGCCAGGGGAAAAAATGGAAAAGTTATGTACTTTTTTTTGTTCAGATGCTAGAAAATGATAGACATAGCTCTTTGATCTTCCAACAATGTGTGCTGAAGCAAAATATTTCTTATTTGGTAAACCTGGACACTGATTTAATGCAAAACAGGACGAGAAGGTAAAAAAGAATGCTGCATATAATTCCATGTCATTAAGATTGTTGTGACCTATCTCTACGTACTCGCCCTATCTGAACTCCCCATCTACCCCTGTCCTTGTGGTCTTGTAGTGGTTCTCATCCACCTACCTGTCATCACCTTTACAGTGAAAAGATACAGCCAAACACTGTGCATTACACAGCAGCACGTATTGCTCTTAAGGCACACCTGAAATCCTACAGAAGTTCACTAATGCCTGCCTGAACAGGATTGTTAAGAGAGGGTCTCGTGGCTGGAGATTGGCCACAGCGACCACGAGGCGATCGAGTCTAAAATCTGTGTTGACAGGAGGAAAAGTGCCAGCAAAACTTCAGCTCTAGGCATGAGGAGAGCAGACTTCAGGCTGCACAGGAAGCTAATTAGTAAAATGGGAAAATGCCTTTGAACACCTAAAGAATGCAGTCACTGATCACAGCCAGCACTGCTTTGTGAAGGGAAAGTCCTGCTTATCAAACCTGATTTGCTTTCATATCAAGCTAACCCACCCAGCTGATCAGGGGAAGCCAGTTGATCTAATCCTTTTGGATTTCAGTAAAGCTTTGATACTTTCTCTCACAAGATCCTTCTGGACAAAATGTCCAGCACACAGCTGGATAAACACACAATGGGATGGGTGAGCAACTGGCTCCCCATGGAGCTACTTCTGTTTATAATACATACCATTACTGGTTTTGGGGCTCCATTTGCATGGAGGGAGGGAGGTTACTCATCAGAAATCCAGATGATTTCCAGAGTTCAATAAATAGAATTACCTAAGCTGACTGCATGTGCTTGGCATTAGCATGCTTACACTACAGCAGAGATAAAGAACACTGGTATTGTAACGTGGACAGTTACCAGGCGGTGCAGAGCCAGCACAGGTAGCACTGATGTGGGTCTGGTATGCAAAGAAAACTTGATCCTATTCCTGTTTAACTATTTGTGCATTCACACTGTAACTGCATCTGCCAGTTTTCAGCACTGGCACAACAAACCACAAACACATGGAGCAATCCCAAGTCCAGTATCACTCTTTATGAGCTCTACCCAAACTAGAAGCACCAGGATTGTATCACTCATACTGCAGTTTCTTTTGAAGTGCCAGGTTTGAAACAGCAGGTGATACCAGCTACAGCTCAGCACCAGCCACAGCTGTACAGCTTGGTTGCAGGTGATACTTGCTCCAGGGTGTGAAGAATGTAATTATGTGTAGTACATGGGGGTTTCCCATTTGGTCAGGTAACCCCACCTGCACTGCTGCCTTATCTTCAGAAACAAAAAGCTTTAATTAAAAAAGAAAAATCCCCATTATTAATATGAAAAGAGAACCACAAAATTTTTCTACAGGGAAAAATACTAGCAAAAATGTCATTAAAAAAAGACAACGTTCACTGTTGCCTTGATAACAAAAAAAAGGAAATGTTCACAGTTAATATATTGTAGATAGCTCATTTCATCATCTCTGAACACAAGGTGAGATGTTCTGCATTGCAAAACAGGCAAGGTATGAACAAACACCCACTGCTCTCAGAACCAGCACCTGAGTTATACAATCCCATACAAGCTCCAAAATGTAGAATTAAAGGACTTGCTGGGAATTTTGATACTGAATACTATGGAAATGTGCTCTAGTCATATGGATCCCTGATTGCCATCTTCCCTTTAATTTTTGTTCAAGAAGTTATTAGTGACATTTTTCATACATTATTAAAGCTGATCAAGAACAAACTATCGATGGATGATATTTTGTGGCAGACTAAATAATGATCTAAGCCTACTCAAATTCCAGGTTGTTATACAACTGGAGTACTAGGAAGAAAGGCCCTAGGGGTTTTCAGAAACTGAGCTATCACTGGCAGCTGAAATAACACAGACCTTTCTAAATGTGCCATTAGCTGCACAAATGTGCTGATTGTTGCACAAACCCCCACAGAATTCTCAGATAACCTACCCAAAACCAGAAGCAGAGGTGCTTATCTTATCTACACTACATTATCTGACATGAGGGAAGCTGAAAGTTGGAGGCACGAACAGAAACCCAAGAAGCTTTGTGAACTCCACCATTCACTGTACATCTGATTCTCCTCAACTCAGTTATCACATAAGGTTAGCATTATCCTTTATTGAAGCCACCAAACACAGAATTGCAGCTTCTTTACTACAATGAACTTGAAAAACACATATTCAAGGGGCTTTAACTGTAAAGCATGAGGAAAACAATTGACCAACCTCAGTTCGTGGCAACTTATGAGGCCTTTCCCAAATGCCTTGAAAAAAATCAAAGAGAATTTTGAAATCATTAAAGCCAATGTGAGAAGTGCACAGCAGAGTAATGAAGGTAAGGAGTTCTGCTGCATTAACTTGGCACTCTTTCAAGGAGACTTGTGTGCAACAACTAAAACTGCCTGGTAATTGTAATCTTCTTCTCCTCAGTGCCTCCTCTCTCACAACTTCATCACCTCCCTGTTTACTGCTGAGGCTGAAACCTCTTCAATTGAAGCAAAATAAAAAGGTTTTTTTTTCACCTTCAAGTTTTTGCAGTCTTATCTCCAAACCCAAAACCTCTGAAGGAGCAAGAATTGCTTCCCAGAGACCTTCCTGTTCAAGGACTTTGTCTATTGGCCCTCTCTAGCCCCAACACTGCCCAAAGCCTCAAAACCCGGTAGGTGACTAAGCCAAAATCCCAAAGTACACTACACACAGAATATTTTCCCTAAATAAATGTCAGCTTCAGAGCTGTTTAATTATAGAAGACATCTCTTAAATCCACTACATGCACGGCAAATAAATCAGTCCAAAGGACTGGACTCAGACTCACAGCTCAAGCATTTTCCTTCTGCTTTTGCCCCATATCCTCATATAAACCTGAGCAAATAAGGCCTTCCTAAATTCCCCACAATTAAACCTGTAATGTTGTAAGGCTTTCAACATCAGGCCATGGAGAGAATGAACATGAATGTAGGAATTATCTCAAGACACACACACCACAAGAACTGATATTAACACTAAAACCTAAATAGCTCAGATGAAAAATACAGCTCAGAGCATAAAAATTCTCTTAAAATACAATTAAAAGGCAGGCAATTACTATAGAAACACTAAAAGTCGTCAAGCATTTTGATGACAATTTCACAGAATTGGAAGTTTAAAAAATAACATTGAAAGGAGACACCAAGAATTTCAAAAACCTCTGTTTTATTTGTACAGAGTAAAATACATCATATAGCGAACACTGTTTTCCACCCATAATCTAAAACCATTATTAAGTGTTTTCTTTTCACCAAACATCCTGGCCAGAAGCACAGACAATGGAAATGGAAACGCTAATTAGTCTCTCTCTGCCAGAGCTACAAGGTGCACATCAATCTCTGCTTCTGTAAGGATCCTGAAAGAACAAAAAGAAATCTTAAATAGCTTAAATTATTCTTCCCCTTAAGCTCCAATATTACAACCTAATATCTATACAAATAAGTTTTACATCAATGCATCTTTCTGCCCTTTAAAGCCCTGCTGCCAGTGCTACAGGCTGACATTCCAATTCTCTTGAAAAATAAAGGAAGAATCAAAGGCACTAGAGAGCAAGGAGGTAACAAATGATAGAAAAAGAACAGGTAATTCTTCATGAGTAATGCAATTGCAAGTTGAGACCTAGTGAGAAGGTAGCTGATCCCTTGAGTGGCAGGAGAGAAGGGGTCATGCAGCTTCTGTGTGCTTTCTCACAAACAATATGCTCTGCTGTCCTCAGCACACACCACCAAATACAAGACCACCCATCATCACCATGTCTACCTTAGAACATTAGGAAGGAAGCACTTAAAAGACTGAATCTGTAGGACCCAAAGGTTTGAAGACTCTCTTCAGTCCCCACTAACCAAGTAGTTAGACCTTTCTCACAAACGTGCTGCTCTGCTGTCCTCAGCACACACCACCAAATACAAAACCACCCATCACCACCATGTCTACCTTAACAACACTAGGAAGGAAGCACTTAAAAGACTGAACCTCTAGGACCCAAAGGTTTTAAGATTCTCTTCAGTCCCCACTTACCAAGCAGTTAGATTAAAGTAACAGCAGACTTTGTTCCCAATTTTACTGTTCCTCTGTTCTTTTAAAATAAAAACTCAAAACATTCCTCAATTAAAGACTAAAGCAGAAATAACTGAATCCCTCTGCAGCAAGCCAGACTTACCTAAATTTTAGGTAAGCCATAGCTGGAGGGTTCTTTTGCATTATAAAAACTCCCCAAAAGTTTTTCTCCCACATTTCATGCACACTCCTGCAGCTACACACTGTGCTGTGAGCAGGCTGTCAAGCACACTGTATCCCATGTGAAGCTCTCCTGCCCTCAGCAGGGAGACTTCCAGGTGTTGCCTTGATACACTGGCCAAGTAATCCTGGTGCACACAGGGTGCTGCAGGCAATAATGGAGGAGGGATGAAATAGCAGGTGCCTGGCTCTCATGTTAGATGGGACTGCAGAGTACTCAGAAAGTAGATAGCCCAGTAATTTTCAAATCACTAATGATTTTTTAAATCCATGATCTTTTAATCTTACCAAATTCAAATACAGTTTTTCAAATTATACAAGTCCATAATCTATTAACTACGTATTTTAGGAGTAAAGAAATGCTAACAATTAAAAGATGAGCAACAATAATTTAAAGATTCATTTAAGAAAAATAATAAAGAACTTAAGGGACTTGTAAATATTCCATAATATAAACCAGACTTTACTGCATTAGTTAGTATGACTATGATTTGCAAGTGGACTCCAGATACCATTACTATGAATATTTTTATGCTTCTAAGCATGAAAACATGTCTAGACCAGATGTAACTACATTTCAATAATCACAGAAATACCCTTTTAAGACATGAAGGAGATGGCTTTTCTCCACTAAATCCCTTAACCACGTCACGCATTTTAAAACTGCATTATTCTTTTTACACAATGTTTTCTACCCCTACACATTTTGAAGAGTTACAAGTAAAAAACCCTTCAAAACTTCAATCTCTTAAATTTATCTCTTTTTCTCAATTTACAATTACACAAGAAGGTAAAATTAATTGCACATAATCAGAGAAACACACCAAGTTTTATCAACACTGATTGCTTACCTGAACTTAGGATTTTCCACTGTGACTACACCAACTTCTATTTCTGAAGGTTTGAAATCAATGGATAGTACAGTAGACAGGCATGTTATTGCTGTCTGAAAAATGACAAAACCCGCTATCATTAGAAAGAAAGCACTAATTTTTTTTTTTCTTAATAGACATAGCATTAAAACTATTCCTCCTTCTGGTTTAAAGTTACTTCCTCTCACTTCAAAATCTCAGTTTAGAAATTCCAAATACAGCTATAGAATACAGCCCCTCCCCAGTCCTCTCCCTAAAAAGCCCAACCTACAAAAAGCAAAGGGATGTATTTTCGTATCAGAAAAAGACAACAACAAAAGACAACAAAACCAAAAGCTTTTATCATGCTAAGATACTGTTTGAAAAACCTTCTAATATGAAGATTATTTTAAATGTCACTAGAAGTTAAGTCACACTGGTATCCCCAAAATCAAGCACTGTAGTAACCAAACACCAGCTACAGTGAGCGTGCTACAATTATACAATCTGCTTCAGCCAACATAAAGCAAAAAAAGCAGATTAGATGACCATTCAAACACTTGCAGAATACTTTCAAATTATTTTCTGGCTGGAATAGCTGTATTTGCTCTGGCAGCAATACAGAACTGTAGGGAAAGAGGAAATGCCTAACTACATTTCTATGCATTGCAAGCCTACATGCAGCATATTCATTAAAAATACTTGAAACAAATTTTAATTTCCTTCTGCTGGCCTACCTCTACTGTTTGTTCATATGTCCAGTCAAATTTCTTCTTTACTTTCTTTTCAAGAAAACTGGTTGACTCTGTCTGTTTAACTCCTGCAGCTGTGGCCTTGAATCCACAATAGTAACCTGCTGGATCACACTTGTATACCTGAGGGCCGTGTTCTTCATCAATACCAATCAAAATCATACCTTGAAGAGAAAATTTGTTAATTAATTTATTTTCCCCATTTTAGCAATTGAATTCAACTGAAGAACAGAATGGATAGTCCTTTCTCTGAAAAAACATGCATGCACAGCAATACATCTTTGGGAATCAGTCCCATACCTGGAGCTGTGATTTCATTTTTATCTCTAATTTGCCACTGCTTACCAGCATCTCATTACCAGGTATGCAACTCAGTTTAGCAGAAACTACATTTCTGTCATTTCCAAAGAAGGCATTCTCATTAAACATGCAAACATTTTTGCCACGCTCAGTGTGTAGAGAACCACAAAGTCAGGAAATAAAAGTTTTATCCTGATAGAAAGTATACCAAGCCACAGCTCACATCCTGTGTTATATGACATAAAAATGCAAACAACAGCTCTACTACCATGTGCCTTTTACTAGAAAGCAACTTTACAAACATACTGAAACTAATGGAGATATTAAAAGATCAAACTTAGATTTCTTGTTACCCTGAAAAACACTGCATTACATACCTTTTCCTCTTTAAATTAAAAAAAAAAAATCTGAAAAGTGGAAATATCAGGACACAACTGAGTCTTTGAAGATTCATCTAAGTGTTTCGAAGCTGGATAGTTTTCAAGTAACACAAACTGACCACATCACTGAAATGCATATGTTCACCCTCACTTCTTGATTTACAGCTGCATTGTCTCAATATGCATATTAAAAAATAAGTAAAAAACAATACTTGCAATAAAAAGCCAAAACAGATCAAGATTATGGTTTGCAACTATCTTCACTTCACATTTGTGTAATTTTCAACTAGTAGTTAGAGATGATAAACTTCTGAGTAGCAATTACTACAACAGAAAAAAAAATTCCCCTCATATTTTCAAGGCTAAGGGAAGTAAAGAAAAATACATTTTTATTCATGTATTTTAAAGAAGGAATTTCCAGAAGTATCAAGGCATGGGAAATGCCAAGGGAAGAAAGAAACAATCCTTCCTGAAAATTACAAGCACACAAGCAGAGGAGAATTGCCCCATCATGGAAACTGTGGTGCAACTCTCAATGTCACTGCTTTAGTGAGAAGTCTTGGGGCCTGCTATGATTACGAGAAGTGATTCATCAATTCTCAAACTATTCTCCTTAAAAAAAACCCCAAAAACAAAAACAAAACCCAACCAATCAAAAAGAAACTCAAGACAGAATGTTTAAGGAAAAAGTAATTGAGGAAACCTGTTAAGTCTTTTACCTCAGTTCCTGAACAGTCTAACAGTATGTTTATAATTTGCTTACAGCCCAACATAAGAGAAAAAACAAGTCAGAACCAGCCCCAGAACACACAGATGAACAGGAGCATCTACAAAAAATGACTCAACACACAACTTCTCTTTAAGCTGCACTTGCTGTTATAAAACAAGACATGTAAAAATATTTGCAAGGGAAATATTTTAGGCACTTTTTCCTCTGCATTATATATAGGATAGCTAAGTTAGGAGAAAAAATTTTGTAAATCTGTCCCATACATTCTAATTAGATAAAAAAGCCACAAAACCACCACAAAGATAATTGCACTCTCCATCTCTGTCTTCTAACAGTGATGTTTACCCAGACACAGTGCACTGGGCTTGGCAAGGTTTTGGTAGTGAGAAGGCTGGAGGGGCTGGCTTCTGTGAGAAGCTGCTACAGGCTTCCCCTGTGTCCAAAGGAGCCGAAGCCAGCTGGCTGCAAGACCAACCTGCTGCTGGCTGAGACCAACCCATCCACAATGGTGGCAGTGCCTCTGGGATAATGTATTTAAGAAAGAAATTGCAGACAGAGAAGACAGGAGTGAGAATATGTGAGAGGAACAACTTTGCAGGCACTGAGGCAAACGACGGAGGGAAGGAGCTGCCGGAGCTGAGATTTCCCTGCAGCCTGTGGAGAAGACCATGGTGAGGCAGCTGTGGCCCTGCAGCCCATGGACATCCATGGTGGAGACATCCACCTGGCAGCCCCTGGAGGAGCCCACACTGGAGCATGTGGATGTCTGAAGAGGCTGTGGCCCCATGTGGAAGCCAGGACAGGCTCCAGGACTGGCAGGACCAGCGGCCCTGTGGAGGAAGGAGCCCACACTGGAGCAGCCTGTTCCTGCAGGACTGCACCCCACATAAGGTGGGCTCCTTGCTGGAGCTGGGAAGAACTGCAGCCTGTGGGAAGGACTCACTTTGGAGAAGTTCCTGGAGCACTATCTCCTGTGGAAGACACACTGGAGCAGGGGGAGAATGTGAGGAGTCCTCCCCCTGAGAAAGACACAGCAGCAAAAACAATGTGCTATGAACTGACCACAGACCCCCTTCCTATCTCTCTGTGCCACTGTGGGAGAGGTAGAGAACCAGGAATAAAGTTAAATCTGTGAAGGAGGTAGGGGGCATGTGTTTCAAAGATTTTGTTTTACTACTCAGTATCCTATTTTTATTTGCTTGCTAATAAATTCAGTTAATTTCCCCAAGGTGGATCTGTTTTGCCCATGGTGGTAACTGGTGAGTGATCCCTCCCTGCCCTTATCTTGACCCAGAAGCCTTCCCTGGTATTTTTTCTCTTCTATGTCTAGCTGAGGAAGGGACTGATGGAGACAGGCAGACACTTGGCATTCATCCAGGGGGTCAAACCACCACAAACAAACACAGTTACAAAGAGCATCTCCTGCTCACAGGTATCACTGCACAGTGCAAACAGACCAGGCCCCAAAACCTAAGGTGAAATAGTATCAGAGAGGCTACATTATTTCAAACGCTGAGTCAGTGGTAAAATCAGGGCTCCAGTTCAAGACCTACAACACTGCTCTCTCATTCAGCTGTTCATCCCCCTTACAGCCTCAGTTACCCATTTTGAAAATGGGTGAGAATTTCTTATATATGAATTTGCAAACTTAGACAAGAAACAGTAAAGATCATTTTCATACACTGTACTTACAGCAACCAAGGGGCCTCATTTCAGCATTCTGTGTATAGACCTGAGAAATATCTGCAATCCTTTTACACAGCATATCCACAGGGATGTCATATCCATACTTGTACTTCCAGTTAGCAGCCTCATAGCGGGCTCTCTGCACCTGGGATCTGCTGTCAGCTAGACAAAAAGAACTAATATTAATTCCACTGAATATGTGCCATCTTTATTACTAGCATTGTCTGAGAATATACAGTCCAGGTCCAACTTTACATTATCTTTAAATATATCCATTAGAACTATGTAAGTTCTCCAAAGCAAGATTGGTGAATTAAATACCTGTCATTCCTGTCATCACACAACCAATATTTTCAGTAATCTTGAATAAATGAGTCACTGTGTTGGAATCCAGTAACTTGTCCTAAAGAGGAAACAAATAATGTAATGGACAAACACTGTCCTTGAAGTAAAAAGGAAACAAACAAACAAAAAAAACCCTAACTCTGAATCCTCTGGTTTTTATAGAAGAGCCCAAAAGGACCCATAACAGCTAAAAACTGTCTTTCAGGCTTTCCAATTTCTACTACTGTAGGCATGCAAAGGAAGACATTGGAGAATAGGCATGATTAAAACCACAGATCTGGAGAACAACAAGAACATGATCAACATCACAGTCCTTTTCCCTCTGAAGAAACTTTGAGAACCCACATATAAATCTTGCTCTCTTTTTTCATGCTGCCCTTCAAACATAAAAGAATTTCCCCCCCTTTTCAGCAGTACATCACCACTGAGCTGAAACACTCATGAAAACCTGTTCTACGAGCTATTGGAATAATATTTTCTCAGCAGAAATTCAAGGCATCAGGGAACTGGTTATGGACAACTCAGCCCATACAAGCCAGAGCAATGAATGCGTGCTCAATACAGCAGGATCTACTTATATTTTTAGATTTATCCCTTCAACAACTACAGAGAAAACCAATATAGCAATACTTGGTGAGAAAATGTTCAGTTGAGCACTACATAGAGCTAGAACTTGTAATAAGCAGAATGATAATTAGATATTCAGTTCAAATAGCAATTTATATCAGTGTTAATAATATCAATATTCTGAGTCTCAGCCCATCTTTTTTTATTCCTCTCCTTTCAGACCTCCCCTCAAAACCAGGCTACTTACAGGTACTTTCTTCTGTGTTACAATTACTGCAGAATCTTTCCCACGAACAGCTACAGATGTAAGTCCACCTTGGTTTATGGCCTTAAATGCATATTCTAGAAAAATATACAAATATTAATAAAAAACTTGTGTCAGAGACACTAGTACAAGTAACCATTTCCCCCAACACACAAATCTCACCAATTTCTGATCTTCTAATACTTTAATACTTGTGCAACACTTTGTGTCCTTAAGATCTTTAGTGCAATTGACTCTCTTCAGAAAACCATTGTCACTGCTTCCTTCAAATGTTTCTTCTGATTTGACTTTTTGTTCAGTTCAAGCTTAACAGCATCAGAATAAGTTTTAGAACAAAAAGGCTGTTCTGAACTTGACCAAAACTGTCCAACCTTAATCTACAGTGACCATAATTTCTTACAGAAGAATTCTTGACATGAATTTTAGCATTTTAAAGGATGCAAGCTTCTTTTCTAACTTTTACTGATATAGATGAAAACTGGTAAGATGACACAGGAGGCACACAAGACAGGTTTTAACTATCATATTTTCTGACTTCACATTCAAACACTGCAATGCTTTTCTTCACTTTTTATAGTGAAAGCTACACAGAGGCCAATTAAACAGTGTTATTCATGTAAATACAATGGATTAAGAAGCAAACACTAAAGCAACAGTCATGAAATGATCCCTGAAATAAATCTCCTGATTGACAGTTTCAAGAGCCTTAGGCACAAGAACTTTAAAAACTGTTTACCTGGCAATATTTGATAAACATTCAGAAATTCGTAATATCTGGCTGAGTGGTAAGACAGCAGCTAAATGTAGGTGAGTTTTTTTGTTAGCTATGCACATGAATCCAGAATTTAGAACATGTCTACAAACAGCATAGTAAATTGCTAAAACTATCTTAAAATAACAGGAGCAAGAAACTTGGCTATTTTAAAAGCTGCACTCAGATCTATAGAAGAGATTGCACAACAGAGGAGTAATAATCTGAAGATGAAAAAAATTTCAAACCTTGCATATTAATGTTCAATCTGCAGAGTCATTGTTAAGGAAGGGCTCATTGTAGTGTATTTACAGCACTGTATTTACCACTGTCAGACATCAGAGATTTACTGGTTACCCAAATGTGCCATAAGGGATGTTCCCCCTTTCCCTCTGTACAACCCTGCCCACCTGGGATGATCAGTGCCAGCCTGCAGCAGAGCACAAACCCCAGTAAGACACGAGCCAGCACTGCTTGCAAAGTGGCCAAGCTTGCAGCCCCCAGCACAGGCTTTGCAGCACTTGTCTATTTACTGTACAACCTGAAGGCAGGGTGTAAAGCAGATGGACAGAGCCAGCCTGTTTTCAGTGATGCCCAGAGACATCTGGAGCAAATCAGAGATGACTGGAACAAACTTAAACAGGAGGGTTCAACACCTGAAAACATGTTTTACTGTGATGGTGACTGAGCACTGGAACAGGCTGCCTGTACAACCCATCTGGAAACACTCCTGGGCATCCAGCTCTAGGTGGGCCTCCTTGGGCAGGGGCTTGGGGCCAGATAATCTCCAGAGGGCCCACCTAATCTCAGCCTGTGACACTTGGGCGGCAGTAGGAATAGGTGCCCTCACAAACTAGTTTTTGCTCACAACTGCCAAAAACCAGGCTTGTGAAACTGCAGCCCCTGATCACCACCTCCATTGCTCAGTTTTCAAGGAAACATGTAAAAGGTGAAGTGGCTCTTACAATGTAACAAATCCAAGTTGCTAGTGCTGTTTTAAGTCTGTTTACTACTATGTATTTCAGCAGCACTGCTGACATTCACTCTGAAAATAGCAGCCCCTTGCTGTTCCCTGAATACATGGCAACAGCCAGAAGTTTTACTGTAGTAATTTTCTTCACCTCCCAAAACTCCACTCAGAAGAAACATCACCTTTGAAGATTGAAACTAACAGGTAGCAAGAGAACACTGATGCTCTGAGGGATTTTAACCACAGTAATGTGAAAACTGTTAAGTTTTCTAATATGAAATCAAAGGCACGTGAGTTTTCTGAGCTTTAGAAGCAGAAGACAGACCTAAGTATAGGCATTTTGGTCCAATATCTTTATGCTGGAAATCTCTGTTCCCATACTGCCAAATTCCAGGAAAAACTCAAGTTAAAGGCAATCTTAAAGCAACACATGTCCATGCTCATTCTCGACAGCCCCTAGCTAACCTTAATCCAGCAAAGAGACAAAGATAAAACAAAACCACCTAGATGTGGACATTTGATTGCAAGCAAACATGAGATTTCTGCCCATGCTATGACTAGATGCTGGCAAACAGAGACACCCATGTGCACCATGCCCGAGTTACCAGCCTGGCTGTGAAAAAAGTGAGCTCATTCTTGCTTGAAGTTAACATCTACATATTTTTCTTCCTATAGCACATAGGTACTCAAAATAGCTTTAAGACAGCTCCAGGCTGTGTGCAGAAGCTCTCAAATACACATGCAGATACTTGTTTCTGAGGCACTGTTAAAAGGTATGGAGGTACCACACATTTCTCATACATTAACCCACTGGCTACACATACCCCAGACAGAAAAACAAGGCTCAGTTTCCTCTCTGCTACAGAATGCAGCAACAATTCCCAACAAGTAGCACTGTGACAGAGACAGTGGGAAGTGATACAGACCAACCACCCTGTTTTAATGACAGCTGAAGGCAGGAGCCCAGGACTCCTCTGTCACAGAACCACTGAAACCCTGTGTGAGGAAGCATTGTCCCTACCATCCCTATGTATAAGGAATAAAATGCATTATACATGCTCCAGATATCTAAGACAGCACCCACATGTAGGTATCTAGGACAGGCACCTTTCTAATTCTTCCTTGCAGAAAGGACTGCTCAAGAGTGGGCCACCTGTCCATGAGGCCTAATCCACACAGGCTTCTTCCTGAGAAAAACTCAAGGGCAGTCACAAAAAACCTTTATGGCTGCCACAGACAATTAATGCAATCTGACCCCAGCAAGCTCCCTTCCTGAGGAACAGAGGGATTTACAGACACAACATGCAGTGGATGTGCACTGAAGGCCCTGCAGCTGGGGAAGGCAGGTCAGGATGATGCTGCAGAACAGTTCATGTGTCCCTGTTGAGAGGCTCCTCCAGGGGCACTCTCAAACTACTGTCCTGCCACACTGTGAGCTGCCTGCATCCTGCACAAGGGGCACCAGGATGCGCTTCTGTACAACCTGGTGCACTGCAAAAACAGGAATAACAGAACCAGTGGCTTGCAGAAGAAGCTGAAGCTCAGCTTTACATTATTCCAAGACACTGAACACAAAGGATGGTTGCTGCTATCTCACAGGCCACAGTTGCAGAACAAGCGCCACTCAGGTGTAACAAGAACGTGCATGAGTTACATCCAAGAACTGACTGTGTCACTCTGGCATGCAGGCTTTGAGGCAGCTCAAATCCCATTTCAAACAGCTCTCATTGTTCTCAGAGCCCAAAACGCAGAGCTCCGAGGCTTGGCAGGATTCACCCAAAGAAACACTCAAAGGAGCCTAAGGAGAGCTGCAAGCTTGGTCTCCCAGCATCCGAAATCGAACACCGGACTCAGGGGAGGCCCTCCCGGCGGCAGGGACACCCGAGAGCCCCCCCGGCCGCAGCGTTTCCCATCTCATGCGAGGATCCCTTCCCCGGCACCGCCGCCCGCGCTCCCGCCAGGCCTTGCCCGGCACAGCGCGGGGCCAGGCGGGGCGCAGCCGGGACTCGCGGGCCAGCGGGGGCGCCGCGTCCCGCCCCCGCCGCTCCCGCACCGTCACGGTCCGGCACCGGCGCCGCGCATGCCCGAGCCCCGCGGCCGCCGCGCGCCGCGCTACGTCACGCAGGTCGCGAGCGGGAGGCGGGGCTGGCGGTGCGGCTGTGGCCGTGTCACTGTGGGAGTGTCACCGTGAGTGTCACCGTGAGTGTCACTGTGTGAGTGTCACTGTCACCGGGGGCTGGGCCGGCGCTGCTCGCGCGTGGAAACCTGGAAGCCCGCCGGACGTGCCCGAGGGAATGCGCACGGAAGCGGCAGGAAACGGAATAACAGTGTCACCGCGGCATCCATCGGCGCTGAATCAAAGTATCGCCAGCCAGCCGGGAAAACAAAACCCGCCCCCAAAGTTCCAAGAGAAGGATTTCCGCGTGTGCTCTTGAATAATTTTAAAGCGAGTACCTCAAAAAACATGTTTAAGGTATTCATAGGTAATTGTTGCCGCAGCTGCGTTATAATGAGATGTTTAAAAGACTTTTTATCGGTGTCCAGTCCAAAGGGAAATTCCCCAAATTGAAACTCGTGAATATAAGTTTTTTGCCTTTCAACATCTTGGAATTCCCCTGCTCTTTGTGGGAAGGCATTTTTTAAAAGTTGGTCATTAAAAGAGTTGGAAAAGCTGTGTTCCGGTATCCACACCTCTACTTTGAAATTATTATTAGGTGAGCTTATTCTTTGCTGAAAGAGCAGAATAAAGGCGTATGCCACACACTAAAAGTCTGTATTCTCAAATTTTTCAAAATACTTCTCCTCGCTTATTAATACTATGGGAGAATAACGTCCTGCTGTGTATTACAAGAGTTTGTCCCTTTCACGGGCAGAGACGAGGAGTTGGGGATGCTGCAAGCACAGGAACACAGGACATGAACACGTATGAGTGCATCTGCTGGGCCAGAAGGAGCCAGTCTTGTCCAGTGCTCTGTCTCCAGATGTGGCCAAAACGGGGATACCCAAGGATTTAAGACTAGAGAGAGCCTTTCATGATACGCTCCCTGAATCCTCTCCCAGTCTCCAACTATCTGGAAGGACTTCCCAAGGTAGGGATAGTGTCTGGTTATTTAGTAACCCTTGCTGGTTCCCCTTCATGAACTTTCTGGTCTCCCCTTGAACCCACATGTACTTCTTAAATCCACAACATGCCATGGCTGGTCAGCATAACGTCGTGTTGTGTGGTTTTGTCTGAAACTCAGCTTTTATCTGAACCTTTTATCTATCTGCCAGTACCATTTGATGCTTTTGTACTGACACAGCCAACAACAGATCCCTAGGCGTTCCTTCCAGAACATTTGTGATTCTTATGACCTGGGTCTCTTAAGACCATTTTCTCCAAGATGATGATCCATACCTTTACAC